TGTGTGCCCAGGCAAAAACATGGCGGGAAGGAGCTGAGCTCAGCTCAAATTAGCCACTAGGCCACTGTGGCCTGTGGCATGCCTGCTCCTTTCTTCAAGTAAGGAAATGCCTTGTTCTCGTCAGCCAGTGAAACGACAAATGTGAAAGCCCCACTCCCAGCCACACAAGTGATTTATCCTCAGTCCCAGAGACCAAAAGCTGCTGTTACTTTTGTCTGTTTCCAGAAGGTATATTCATCCACCCTTGATCCCACAGTGCTCCTCATTGTTCCCTGTGTCTTTATACAGAGTGGCAAGAGAAAGAAATGACACAGAAAGGGGGATAAGCCTAAGCCACATTCTCAGTAGTATGCAGTATGCAGCATGTCTTTCTGCTTTGGTTTATTCCAGAAACAGGATCTATTGAAACCCTCTATCCCTGCAGTACAGTATGGCCATTGCTAGTAACAGGCCGCAGGGGCTCAGGACTGAGGCTTGTCAGGCTTGCTTTGCCTGGACTTTTATTGACCTGCCTGCTGCTTTATTTTAATTTGGTTTAGCTGTCAGAGCATTTTTTTCCTTCTGACCAGGTAGCTATGGCTGATTTGTTTTACTTTGATTAGCACTGTATGGTACAACCATAGTTTTATACATATAGCAGTAACAAGTAGCTATTTTGTGCACCATGAGATGTTCATGACTCCAGCTTAATATGCTAGACTTAATCATAGGCCTGGCTTACAGCAGAGGCCTTGAGAAGTGGAGGCACAGGATGCGGTGCAGAGGAGTACAGGCATGGGATGGTAAGAGATAGGGCACAGGCTTGACTCTGGAGACCTCATAGCTACAAACAACTCACCTATGGTCAGTTAAAGAAGTGACCATAATTTATGCTGACAATTCCCTGTAACACCCCCACCACTCCCAGAATGAAACCATCAACTGTAGGACCCAGAGGAGCAAGGGCAGGGGGAGCAAAACACCAGGAATAGGGGTTGAAGCTAAGAAGTCTGTGTGTAACAATTTTGAAATTATTATTATTATTGTTATTATTATTATTATTGTTATTATTGAAACTTTTTCTGCATAGGAGTATTATTTATTTTTCTGTAATAATTAGACCTGGACTAATAATGATTTTTGTATTAGAGTGCTAAGATTTCAGTTATACTAAAAATAAATTACTGTCTTTTATATAAGATGGGTTTCTCTTTTGCCCAGAAACAATATTTTGAGCATAACACTGTAAGAAGGTTCCCAAATAACTCAGAAACACACTCTATGTCTCATAGGCTTGCAATAACCAAATCATTTTATGAGCTGAAATCACCATCAAAATGTGAAAAATGCATCTGCCTGGGAGAGGTCTAAAGAGCCTCTTGGTCTCAGCTGAAATGGTAAATGGTGTTTTGGGTAAAATCAACTTTTTTTTTTCAGTTTCATCCTTCAAAACTGTTCCGGCTCCCTTGGATGCTCCCTCTATGAGTCAAAACTGATTGTGCTCACCTTCTAGCCTGCACTTTGGCAAAGAAGGAAGCCACAACAAACACCTTATGAGTTAGGATGCACTCTTTTTAGCCACAGATCAAAATTCGAAGAAATAAACAAAAACTCCCAAACTCTTTATCTTCTTCCAGTTCCTCAGTAAAGCTTTCCAAGTTAATGTCTTCTATTTCTAATGGATCTAGAATGTTCTACAGATGCATTAGGTTTGTAATAAAATTCAGAAGAGATGCATTGCTATCAAACATGTGCCCTCGGCTCCAGCTTTTCTAAACTACTGAAAAAACCAAGAACAGGCCAAGGACAGGAGCCAGCACGGCAGGCAGTACCCTGGCGCAGCAGAGACCTGTGCCATTTAAACACCTCACAGAGGTGAGCAAACCATGCGAAGGACTCCCCTAGGTTTGTGCTGGGCTTCCTGGGCAGAATTACAGTGTAACCTGTAATTACAAGGTAACCTGTAATTGCATATGTTTTCACGCCCTGGACATCCTGGACCTGTGGTATAGAGGCAATTGCCGTAAGCCTGGTGGACATTCCTGATTCTGGGATTTCGGCTTCCCTCTTCCTTGGAGATATTCACAGGATATTTTCTCTTGACTTTTATGTGTCTCTGCACACATTAGGTTTGACGTTGCACACACCCTTCTGTGACTGAGGGCTGGCCCTGAAAGGCTCTGGCTTCCTCATTTCTGCTCTCCTGGCTGAAGACTCCTGCACCGTTCCTTGTGCCAGACCGGCTGCCCTGCAGGGTCAGCTGGGTCAGCAAGCAGAGTCAGTGCCAAATTATCCCTTCTCCGTCTTCAAAAAACCATGATCAACTTTCTGGTCCAAGTGAGCCTGTGAGCTTGCAGTCACCAGGCCAGGTGCAAGGAAGGAGGGGGGACGCGCAGCACAGGCTGCATCTCCCAGGGACTGGATGGCCAAGAAAGGGAAGGCAAAGGTGTCCAGGTCTGCTGTGTGCCACAGCCCACAGCAGGTGAAGTGCAGAAACTCATTTGCATTTTTCTGCAAAGTGACTGCCCGTCAGTCTCTGCACAGCAGAGGGACAGGAGGCACTACGAAAGCAGCTCTGCTTGGTCATCACCCTGCCGTAGCAGTGGCAGAACCACTTTGGTTGATACAATTGCCATTGGTGATGGATTTAGCATCAGAGAAGACAACTGTGAGCCTGCCTGTGCTAGGGTCAATATGCCATGGATTAATCCGGGAGTGATAGCATGAGGCTACTTGGTACTAAAACACTAAGCCATAATGTCCTGTGAGAGTGTCTGCATGCTGAACCCCTACGGAAGAGCCAATGCACTGTAATTCCCCTCTCAATGTACCAAGCACTATCTTCCCTATACAGATGTACTCTGCATCTCCATTTATCATAGAATCATAGAATACCTCGAGTTGGAAGGGACCCATAAGGATCACCAAGTTCAACCCCTTGCTCCTTGCAGGACTACCTAAAACTAAACCGTATGACTAATAGCATTGTCCAGATGCTCCTTGGACTCTGACAGGCTTGGTGCTGTGACCACTTCCCTGAGGAGCCTTATCTAAACACCTGTAGTAGGTGAGGGGTGCTTAATAGTTATAACCTCTGGGCAAAGACACAGCAACTCCTGCTTCAGTGCCCAGCCCCATCTGTGAGCTGCTCTGTAAAACTGGGCTAAGTAAAGCGTGTGTGTGTGTGTGTTTTCCCATACCTGCCACATGGAAATAATGAAATCCATGTAATTCCTAGGGTATAGTCATGATTTACTAGTAGGAAAAGCCCTGTGAGAGCTTTAGACAAAAGAGCCTAGCCACTTAAATACTAATTCACCTCCCTTCTGAGTACATAAGTCCAAGTTTCAGATGCTTTGGGTTAGCAATTGGAGAAACAAAATGTGTGTCTCCAAGTGCTCCACTAATGCCTGATCCAGAGCATGCTGGAGTCAGTGGGAACCTCCCTGTGCACCTCAGTAGGCTTTGGATCTGACCCTGAGCATGCACGTAGTTTATTACGACCATGGGTACTAGACAGGTAATACCATGTGCAAATGACTATGTAGCAGCATTTCCATGCATAACTACAATAATGGTGGGCGAAAACTGGACATACACTTGTTTATTCCAACCATATGAAAACTGGCCCTAAAATGAAATGTTTGGGCTATGGACCTGAACATCCAGAACTTTGGAAGATGTGCTAGATCTAAACCCAGTTTTATGAGTGGCTTTGGTTTTCTCTTTGGATGACCCCAGGCATCATTTGGAGAGGTTGATACTTGAATACTCTCTAGTTTGAACATACTGAATATATGTTTGTCTCCTTGCTAAATGAAAAAAAGAATTCTTGATTTGCTGTATTTTCCCTGTTTTCCTATCAAGATGGTGATATACCATGTTACTGCAATCTGTAGATTTGTAAGATGCATGGAAGCCCTCCTTCCTTAAACACAAGTTGCCATAAAAGGTGCTTAGTTAATTTCTTTTCCGTGAATTTAATTTTGGTCAGGTCCTTCTGCCTCATCCAACAGGCACTATCCCCTCAAGCGTGTAGGCCGTGGTCCTCTGTGTCTTACCAGGGCGTTGCACAACTTTGATTCCTTAATCCCACTTCCCCCCATTGCAACTGGCTCTGCCCCCAGTCCTGGAGCATGACATCTGAGAAATGCTTAGATCAAAGCTCTCCATCTGCCAGTGGGGTTTGGCCATTAACCTTTTGTTTATGTACCTGCTGTGCAATAGAGAGGCACTTCAGATATTTTCTTGCTAAACAAAGACAGGTGTCTAAACTGAGCAATATGCTTTATGACTCTGGGCATGGTTACTCCACATCCTCTTTGACTCTTTTTTCTGCAGAGATTAATGTTGGGATCTTAAACATCCCTAATGCCTTATAGACAATCCATTAACATCAGTGTCTCCTAAATGGCTAGCCGTACCATTTTTTATAAAATAGGGATCCCTTCCTAATGCTACGGCTACCAATCCCTTGATTTCCTGAGCGTATAATCAGGCGTATTATCAGCTGTGGAGCATTTTACACTGCTACATATTTTTTACTATATAATGAGCTGCGTGTGTGTGAGTGACATACAAAAAATGAATATTGCTATTGCACTTACTGCAATGTATGAGCTGGTTAGACACGAAATGCAGACAGAAATCCGCCTCACCTCCTAAGCTAATTTTAGTCTCTCCCTCTCTTCTCTCTAGCTGTGTGTGTATAAAATCACTCGCAGTCTGACAGCATTCCAGTAACCTGTGCCACTCGCAGAGCGGGATGTACTTACTAACCATCTGCTTGCATGGCATGGGTTAACTGAGCCTGTGGGATTGTGCTTACCTAAACAAAACCACTGCAGTGAGGGGAAAAACAATGAATGGGTGGAGATGATCAGCCCATGCATTCCAGCTAGTGCAGTCCAGGCAGCAATGACAGCCTGAAGGTTGCAGCAGCATCGGGATCTGCATTCCAAGTGCACAGATCTTACAGTCTGGAGTGATTTTACGTGGAGCTGCTCTTTATTTGCTGAGCCATGGCCAGTAACCAGGCCAGCCTGCAGGATGATCAGAGCAGGCACTGCAAGTTCTTATCCTATATGTTCTACCAGGCTGTGAGAGATCACAAGCCTGTGTGGATGCTGGAAGACATGAGAACTATGGAGTATTTTTACTGGGAGGAAAATGCCAGCCTAAGAACCTACTCACCTTCAGAAGCCCTTCTCTATGCAGTGGTGCATAACCACCTGCCTTATGCTCAGTATCTGCTGTCTCATTTTCCTGAGGAGGCTCTCAAGGTGCCTGGGGAACACTTCTGCTATTGCCCATCCTCTGCTCCTCACTTGGCCATGGCGGTCACATATGACAGGAGAGATATCTTGGGGCTGATCATCAAAATTGCACACAAGCTCCCCAGCTTGAACTCCTACATCAATAGGACTGGCTGCTTTCATCTGGAAGATGGGAAAACCCCCCTGCACCTTGCCTGCGAACTGCTGAGGTCAGAGACGGTCCTCATCCTCCTCGGGAATGGAGCTTCTCCCAGGATAGAGGACAGCAAAGGGCTTACTCCGCTGGACGTCATCCTGGAGCAGATGTGGGACTCCAAAGTCAATGTGGCATCAAAGAAGCTCTGCCTTGACTACCTTTTGCTCTTCATGCCCAACCCACAGTTTAAGATGCGGAAAGTTCTGCAGGAGCATCCGGACCACTGGACAGCTTTGCTGGGGGAAGACAAATTCAACAGCCTGGTGGGGAACACACCTGCTTCTTTATATCTGCAAGCTATGCAAACTATTCTCCAGACTCTTCCCCCCTCCCACTTCCCTAAAAGCATCCAGGAACTACCTATACCTCAGGCACTAAAGCCCTTACCATCCTATGGCAAAAAGCTACCGACAAAAAATGTGGTAAATGTTTTTCCTTGACTTTATTCACTGGGTCTTGGATTTTCAAAGGCAACTTAGGGGAGCTGGTCATCCACCACCCTCTGTATTTTAGTGTGATTTTAGTACTTAACATATTAGGCTAAGCTGGAAAATCCAATATTTTGTGACAAGATTTTAAATGTCTTTTCTAATTGATTGCAGGCACGGCACTTTTAAAAGCAAAAGCCTTCCTTGTTTTCTGTTTTGTTGTGCATGTGAAGGGTTAACTGTATCGAGACTGTGATATGTTTGGTTTCTTAGCTGTCAGCTGGTATCAGTGTATCTGAATTCCCAATATGATAACTGTATCCTGTGCAACATACCTGCGTAAAAAGGAACTACGTGCCCAGTGGGATTTTCAAATGGTGTAACTATGGGACTGTGTTCTGCTAGAGCTGGGAGAAATACCATCCTGTACCAACAGGGTTCAAACGTCAGGTTCCCTTTCTAACAATGATCCAGCATCATCTAGTAATAACCAAAAAGTCCGTGGCTGATGCTGCAGGGATGTAGAGGCAGTCCTGCAGGGTACCTGATTTTACTGAGTTACTTTACAGCAGGTCATAGCGTGGAGGGCATGAGTTCAGAGAGGGGCAGTGAGGGTATATTCCTGGTGGGGGGATAGAGACGGGCAGAATAGCTAACAGAAAGCATCCTGTCTCACCCGGGAGGGAGGGAGGGGGTTAAAGGCAATCCCAGCCCTGATGCTTCTACAGACTTGTGCAATGGGGAAGGAACCATTTTCCCCGTGCTGTCCAGTAAACAAATGGAAATCAGAGCAGGGCCAGTGGAAGCCCTGTCCTTCATAAGTGACATTATTTCCCCTTGACTTGTGTTTTAGGACTGAACGTATCTCCACAAGAGACGTAGCTCACTAAATTGATTTCCCAATGGCTCTCACAGCCACTAGCATTTGCTAGTTATCCTAAGCTGGGGTATGATGTTCTGCTGTTAAAAGTTGTCACTTGTCAATTAGAGTATTTTTGCCAGGTCCACACAGAGGGCCTAATCCTGGAAAACACAACAAGTTCCCATTGACTCCCCTGGGCACTGCAGGCAGGATGTGTTTGCAGAAAGCAAAGAGTTGGGGCTGCCCTGCTTTCTGGAGAGCTCTGCACCTTGCTGCCCAGGCAGAGCCCTGTCCATTCAAGGCACTGGTCCTGCTCTCTCGGCCATGCTCAGCACCAACAGAGCAGTGGCAGGATCCCAACTCCCTTTGGGGGACATGCCTTATTTTGGACCCCAATGTTCTCCTCTCTTTGAAAGCGCAACCCTCTGCTCTGCTGAAGTAGCATAACCCATTTCCCCAGATCCGTACTAAATAGCAGTGAAGAAATCACTCATCTCTTTAAATAAATTTGGAGCCAAAGGTTGTGGGCCACAAATCCCTTTTAGCAAGGCTCTAGCTAAGAAAGCATGTGCATTCACATCTCAATTGCTCTGTGCAAAAATGGCTCTTGTATCGTCTGGCTAATTCCCTGCCTGTGCCAAGGCGGCTGTGCTGGAGCTGCACCTTTTTTTCCATCAGCACAGGGAGTACTTCCGCTCTGTTTCCCTGTGCACAGGGTACCTCCGCGATGCCAGACACGGCCAGGTGGAGATTTCCTGCAGGGCTGCGCAACGTGCTGGGCACAGCCAACTGAAACACTCTTGCTGAGAGACCGGGATGCTCCTCCCGGACAGCTCTTCCCACATGCCGTGAAAGCACCTTGGTGCTGGTGCCGCCTGCGCTGCGCTAGGTGAAGATACAGGCTTGCTTGTGAGATGGAGGAAATGTCAGCCCAGCCCTAAAAGTGGCAAGCAGGCCACGAAGGGGTTAACCCTTCTCCTGAAATCTCACATCCCTGGTGCTGCAGTGTCCTTCTACCCCTGCCCCTGGGGACTTGCATGTCTTTCCCCATCTGTCTATTCCTCCCTGTGCGATGGGGGAGGGCATGAATGGTGGCGGAGAAATTCAGGGTCAATCTTGGGCGAGGGTTTTGTGGAGAGGCTGCTCGCTCAGCAGCTTCTGCGGCAGGCGGAGGCTGTCACAGCTTGGGAAGCAAAGCAGAGCCCAAGGCAGATTTGCATTATAAGCGGTGGCTGAGCTGCTTCTGCCAAGCCCTGCAGGCTCCCCAGCCCTGGCAGCCCCCAGAAACCCAGAGCTGGAGGCAGAGGACAAAGCAGGCTCTCACTGCCCAAGGCTGATGAGAGCAACGACACAGAGCACGGCCCCTGTGGCACCCCTGGATTCCAGAGGAGCAGGATTGGGTTTGTCCCCAGCAGCAATGCGGTATCTCATCCGGATGTCGGTGGGCGAGAGGCAGAGGAGGCTGGTGATGGATATTATTAGAATAGTAATTAGGCCCTGGGAGCAGAGATCCCAGGGAAGTAGGGAAGGGAAATCATCAACTGTTACTGCACTGGCTTGAAACCATGAGAGTTTCGGTGCTATAAAGAGTTTCAGAAAAGACAGGGGGGAGGGGAGGGCTGTTCGACTTACTTATAAATCAAAGGAGGCAGGTAGGGATTCTTGGCATTAATGAGTTAGCACTTTCTAATAAGGCAGGGGGCTGTACCCAGAGAGCCAGAGCAACCCACTGGGAGCAAGTGGGTCTAAAATGGTGCAGGGATCTCTTGTTAATTGTAATAGTTGTGGATCATTGCAAAGGCCAGGGTTCAGGCACTTCAGGCTAGATGGGTGAATTTGTGGCAGGTAGCAGGATGCTTGTGTGCATGCATTTGTCCATGTGGGAGGCTACCCTGTATTCACTAGCCCAGACAGAGGATAAGAGATGGATTTGCAGCAACTGCTCAAGAAACTCAAATTCTGGGGTATATCTGCATCTGATACCACAGCCTGGAAGAAAGCTGCTGGCCCACTGTTGGCCAACATGCAAAAACACTGGTATGCTCGGCCCAGTGCGCAACGGGCAGCTACCTGCACTGGAAAGATCACTCCACAGCCCTCTCATTCCTCCTTTTCCCGACCATTTTAACAAGAGATCAAGCACCAGCTGGCCCTCAGCTGCTGAACTACCATCTGACCTCCATGTGCAGTCCCGCTGGGCCAGAGTTTAGGGCCATTAGCATTGTGGTGACGACTCTTTCCGTTGCCTGTAGCGATACGAGTGCAGGATGGGGTGTCCTTCTGCTGGAGTGGAGGAACCTTCTCCCTTGCTTATCTTGTGGTGACCTGCCTGTTAGTTTGAGATCCCATTTGTCTTCCCGCTCAGTACAGTCACATTACATCAGACACAGCCAAATCTACCTCAGCCCTGTCTGTGTTGATTTTTTTTCTTCATTCTTTCCAAGCCAGGTCATTAGCAAAAGTAAACTCAAAATATTTTCCACACTTCCTGTAACCTGACAGTCCGTAGTCTTGAAAAATCCCTATGCTTGCATGACAAATATGTCGGTGACTTTGTTAATCAAAAAGGGTGCTAGGTGCTGTGTAGTGATGTTTACATTTTCCGTATGTACATACTGAGTAAGTGTAGCCAAGATCTTTATTTCTGAACTTGGGAAAAAGAATAAAAGAGAGAGAGGAAAGGGAGAGGGCAAAGTCTTTGCTAATCTTTGGATTACAGGTTGGCTCTGCAGGTTACATCTTTTTAATTTCAATTTTGAGGAGTGGCATTGTAAGGATCTGAGTTGCATGTGTATGTGTGACCAGTTTCGATGAGTATCGCTTCAGTGAGCATGGCGAGTGACTTGGCGTGTGTTTGTGTGTGTGTGTGTGCACGTAAACGAGTGGGCCCACGTGTGCACATGTATGTCTGTGTCTCTGTCTGCCCTCTCCTGGTAAAACTCATAACTGACTTACAGTGCTTGTACACATCAGTGATCAATGCCTTAAGAAAGCAGCCTTTTCATGAGATAAGTGTCCCAAGCTCTGTGCTGCTAACAGGTAAGGACATTTCTTCTTCTCTTGTAAAGAGGCAGCAGCTTTGCTCTTGAAACGGGTGTTTTACCCCTGAACACCTACCACAAGGGCTTCTGCTCACCAATAGCCACAACTGTCCAGCGCAGGGTTTGTGATAGCGGCCACATTTTATTCTCAAATCCATTTTTTTTTAATAAAATCTATTAAACGTACATCTTTGTCTTTCTTTTCTCTGGGCTGCCCAAAATTCAGCCACCTATGACTTCCTAACCCTACGCTTCTGTCTGTTTCTGCAGCACCATTAGCAGGAAGGACAGGCCAGATTCTGACCTCAGTTACAGCTCTTTACACCTGAAGTAAGGCTTTTTAAATCAATTGCATCACTCCTGATGTTTGTTGTTCTAAAGGGAAACAGAAACTGTTTGTGCACTTATATTCTTCAAGGCTCCATAACTGACTTCAGCATATAAATAAATGTGATGCTTAATCCCTGAAAACATTTTTTACATTTTTCATACTTTGAATGTATATAGATATATATTTTCCATCTCTCTAACACCGATGGGCAATTCCCTGTTCCCAGTTCCCTTGGCTTTTTTGGAATCAGCATGACAGTGACAGATACTATTGTTCACGGATTAAGACCGAGTGTTGCCATGCCCAAGTACAAATGAATGTTCATTGTATGATACGACTTTCTTATAAAGCCATACTTTTGTAATTTTGGTTTCTCTTTTTTAGGGAAAAAAAAAATCTTCCATATAATTGTGTTTGTACATTACTCGCTGCATGATTAAAGATAAGAAGATTGTAATGTGCTGGGAATAAAATATATATACATACCCTGATATAATTAGGTATATTAGCTGTGAAAATCATTTAATCTGATTGTATTACTGTAATAAAGTTGCAGTATAAACCTGATGTGTCTTTTATTAACCAGTTGGTCAAAACCACCCACCAGTATCTATTGCTTTCACTTTGGCTCATCTTGGTGTTTGATGATTTCATTCTGACTGCTGAGCCATTACCTCCAAAAATGTGATCTGAGAAAGATAATTTTCCTTCACAGGCTTGCAATAGCTGGCTGTGCTGCCAGGGGATGACCCCAGGTGATGAGGTGAACCCACATTTC